TGGTACAAAGTCCTCCAGCTTTTCATACCTTTGAAGAACTTCCAGCCATCAAAGAAACAAATAACAACATTGAAATTCAAACATAATTGTTGTTATTTTGCTGTTAATTAAAGTCAAGAAAGTAGTCCGTTTTTCTCGTTTTACACATTCACTTCTCTCTCTCTCTCTCTCTCTCTCTCTCTCTCTCTCTCTCTCTCTCTCCCCCATTTTATTCCTTTGTTTGTTTTGTTTTTTTTCTTGCAAGAATGTCATTAGGGTTTTTTTCCCTCTATTTGCTTTTTTTTTTAATGTTTTTAGCAAGGAAGAAAATTCAACTACTGGTAGCTCTAGGCTCGACTACGTTCGACTTATCGGTAGTGGTAGGCTAAAACTTGATAGTTGGGCGATATACTGGTGGTTTAAGGGGCTCGTTAGACACTCTACGGGCCCGTAAAGTCCCTGAGGAATAAAAAGAAACACCTATCATCGGGGATAAAAAGAAAAAAAAAGGTAAGAACATTTTCTTCGGGAATCGTTGGGGCGTCCTCGGGCTACAACCATTTTGTGGCCTTCCCCAAGACACTTCCCGAGGTCCCTCGGAGGTCAAGGATCCGCGATAATCGAAGCGGAGAGGGTACCCATCGTCCGCAATAAATTTTAGTCGGTTGATCCATTATAGTACCTACCAGCCACTGCACGGATATCTTGGGTCGTCAACGTTCGACTTCCATGATCCTTACGTGAACGGTAATCGTTGGTGGCGGGGCGGCCTCAGCGAACATCTTCAACCGATGTTCTCCTTCGTAGTGCATGCCGTCAAATGGAAAGGGCTTCAACGATTTACAAAATTGAATATTTTAGTGGACCCGCCTTTCGATTCTCCATTGTACTCGGCAACGTAAAACTTTAGAGGGCATTTGTCAAATGTTCTGGTCTGTCGTTTGTTGCCCTCTTCGTTACTGTTTGGTGGAGGCATACCAGCGTCGTGTAGTTACTGTTTTTCCCAACGTGTCGCTCATGGCCGACGGATTGCGAAGGTTGTCGTTCTTGCTCCTTGTAATCATTTTGTTTGTCCTTCTGATCGTCTTCCACATCTACATCATCGACAGGTTGTCTAGATGCACATGCAAGAGGCGTTTTGTGAAGAAGGGCATTATCATGGACGGACGGCAGGCAAAGAGCAGGTCTTCAGTGGACCACTCCGCTAACCACTGCGTTGGCCACGTTCTAACTCGCAGTGCAAGCGCGTACTAACCGTTAGAGTGAGTGGTATTAAAATTTCTACCAGTGTTGTCCTTTATTGTTTGCCATCTGATGGACCTTGACTGTTGTCGTGGAGTTACAACCCTGTCGTAAGTGTCATTGATGGTCGAATTCTATTGAAGGTTACCACTGATGCTCCTTGTTGTGATTTTGCTTTTCGTGGTCCTCCTGTTTCACGTGTGCATCCTCTATCCTTGATGGCCGACCTCTATCGGAGGCCTCTAACAGAGAAGATAAGGGAATCGACACCGATTACAGTCAACATCGACAACGGCAACGCGTCCCCCGGGTGTTTATCCACACTGGATGCAATCACCATCGCACAAAATCGTATAGAATAGTACAATCGGTTTTCCACCGCGTCAAACCGCATATCCAAAAACCTTCATACATTCCCGTCACACCCACTGCCGCTGGTCCGAGGACCAACTACAAAACCGGAAGGACTTACTATGACGACTTAGCTACCTTATATAGTCTGCAGTTCTCCAAAAATAGGTGGTACTTGAAGCTTCGACTTCTCAGTGGAAGGGCCTTCTACCCTCGAACTCTCGTCGTGTCAAACTAAAAGCTTGTAACCTGGCAGGTCCTCGATGGGCCGCCTTCAGAGCCTCAAACCTAGGCCTAATTTCTGCAAAACACTTGATAGCCGCAAATTGACGGCGGTCGTCCGGTCCCAGGATTTCAGGCCTTTACCTACAACACTCCTCACAATTGTCATGAAAATTCAAATAAAAGCATAAGCCTTTGGATATCCTATCCATCAAAAGAGATACCAAAGAGCAGAAAAAAACCCTTCGAGATACATGCTCTATTTGTATCCGCAAATTATCTCATAAACCTCGAATATCCTATAAAAACCTTACCCATAGAGCAAAAAATATATCAATTTCAATCAAATTCCCTGTCCATTACCACAAAGACCTGTGTCCAACAGTACATACCCTGTCCAAGGAATTAAGCACAAACCAGCTATAGCGTGGCTTTCCACGCTATGTCCTTGCCCACCACGAACCTTTTGAGCACCTTTTCGAAGAAGTTCACCGGAAAATCCCTCTTGCTTAGTTCTCGTTGTAGTGATAGTACGCGCATGGGTATTTCTGATCGGACCGACGTATTACGGTCGATTCGGTGCAGATAACCGCTGATTACAGTGCTCTTCTGTTATTTACTTCCCCGTGACAGGTACGACTTCCCACTTTTGTGAATCAATGGCTTGTCATTCCAGGTGCAATTATCGTTTTTAGACACCTGGGTGCAGCCCAACATCGGATACCTCTGTCGAGCAGTAATCTTACACCCTAAGAAATCCAATCATCCCGATCCATCGTCTGTTCGTTCGAGAACCAGTCCAACAGGGTAACAACTACGAAAGGCTTGCAGCATAAATTCTCTCTCCTCCTCCTTCTTCTAGGCTAAAGCTACAAGGACATCATCCATCAAACGTGTGGCGAACAGACAATTGGCACGACGTCCCAAATTCTCGATGAGCTTTTACTCAACATACGCACACATGATACAACCAAGGGGTAGGCTTGTACTTTTTCCCATCGGAATGCCCACCTCTTGCTTCAGCAGAACACCGGTGGCGAAGAAATACGTATTACGCAGATCGATACCGACACAAAAACGGATATCTTCCAAGTCAAGACAAGCCCAATGGTCTGCCCCCGTTGTCATCCCGAAACTGGCTCCCTTCCCCCTGGTATTAACTCGAATTTTGGTCCGTTCCTTGGACTTGTGCCAGTCGATCAACCAGTTGACTGCGTCACAAATTAATATATGAGGTAACTTAGTAAACATTTCCTTTATATCAAAGAAAAACGCCGCAGAAGTGTAACTGCCACCAAGCCGGCCCAATTTCTTGTTCTCATACTCCGTCATAGGTCCGATACCGATCGTAAGTTGAAGTGCCAGCGTCTAGGGATAGTACTCAACATGTGATTCAGGGCTTTTGAGATGATCTTACTGATCCTAACCATGGGATCTGAGAAGGAAGGACATATGGGCCGAAAACGACTGAGGTCCTTGTGTTTTGGGATAACATAAGCGTTCCCAAAACTTCCTTTGGCGTCTACTCTCGCAAACTTGACCAAGTTCTGTTTGGTGACTTCCTCAACGATTTCGCGAATGATACAGGATTGTGATCCTTCAACGATTCTGTACCCCGGATTCAGTACAAACATAGACATCATCGCACTGTAGTACAAGCTTGGACACATGGCTACCGTTTCCCCGGAATTCCTGTCGATAGGTGTAATTACCAAGTCCTCTAACTATTTTTTTTTTAAACTCCACCTCGTCCAGTGATACCCCCTTCCCCATTTGAAGGGCTTGTTTATCAGACATCACACATTCTTGAACTCGATTAGGATCAAAAGGAGGTGGATCACCTCTTAGATTTTTCCATCTGAGAAATCCTTGGAGTAATTCATCGCACAAGCCGACTACGCGTTGTTCCTTGCGCGCGCATGAAATATTATTAGCATTAGCCAAGATAGAAGAGACACCTGGTAGCTCGCCCAGTCGAAAGATTACATGACCTTCCCTCCGCATATAAGGTAGCCATGTACATGTACAAGTAATCACGCTGCGTTTCGAGTAAGAACGCTGATTGTGCATAATCTCGACGATCGTGGGATTTTTTGTCCCTACGATACGCATCTTCTTTCCAACACGGTGCAAGAAACAGACAGGCAGTTCACACTTCATAAGGGCGTTATTTGCTACCTTCCGGACTTCATTAATGCGAATCCGGTCATCAAAATGAATCTTAAAGACCAAATCAGTTGCGAGACTTAATCCAAAGTTCTCTCGAAAGTGACGAGAAATCAGCTGTCGTAGGTATTTCCTAGTGGATTTCCGTGAGAAATTTTTAATCACATTATATACCCGTAAACACGATTTAATGTTCCAACCCTGCAACAGGTTCAACTTCTTTGGATTCTTTAAAATTTGTATTAACAGCCCTTTCAAAAATCCACAACGACGTTGCCATTTACAAACATAGGTAATCTCGAAATGTCCTCCTCTTTCCAAAGTTTCTCGACAGTCTTTCAAACGTACGACTTATGTCCCAAATCTCAATTTCGACTCTCCAAAAGTTTTTGTGAGGACACACCATTTAGGGAACCAGACATCACCACCTTTTGTGTAGATCCGAACTGGTAGAAATCGAGTTCGGCTTATCCACCTGTTTGATCGACTCAAGAAGGTGGTAGAAATCGAGAACCCATTCTGTGCCATCTTGCACCTAAAATTTCAAGGGTGCTACTCTATCAAATTCTCTTCCCAAAGGGTAACCTCCATTCCTTATTGCTCTCTCCTTTCTCCCAGGCTTGTTCGACCTGTGCTTCTTCTTCCCGCTCCTATTAGTTCCGGAGGTATTAAGGAATGGGGACCACCTTTTTATGTACGTGAGTTCCAACTTGGAGAGGTCAGTACTACCCAACATGTCCACATGTATCAAACAGTAATTCCCAAAACCAAAACTGACCAACCACCGGTGAAAATGAGATTTGGACTGTCTTCGACTAACATAGAGATGCTCTCTCCATCTAACTGTCATTTTACGGGTGGTCTTACCTACGTACGAATGCTTACAAAAAAGAGAAACGACAGCGTATACACAGTCCGATAGATTAGTGAAGCCCAGCCCATGCTTACTATACAGCTCAAGCCAATTATTCACAAACTTACGAAGCCACCTAATTGCGTTATTGACTGCCAGCAACAATATCACAGTGATGAACAGTGCATCAATCCGAGCATCGGACGCCCCTCCGTCACATCTCCATTTTGCAATGAATCGACAAATCGCCCACAACTGAGGCACTCGTAGGTCCCATTAGATCGTAACTTCCTCGTCTTCCTGCTCAGGAGGCCCTGCTGCCTCCGAATCTTCGATCCGGATAGACTTTGGTAATCCTCCTGGAGCTTGGTCGTCACCGAAGTGTAGGTATATGCGATGATCCGCGATGTCAAAAATTGTGTCCACTTTCCCGTCACATGAAACTCCTTTCTCTCGGCATATTCGTTGCAGTTCGCTGGCGTCCAGTTGTTTCAATTCCATCATCATCAAATTGCGATACTTGTAACGAGCAAGTGCTCCTTTTGCGTCGGGGGTCACAGTCCTTGGGATCAGTGGCAAGATCTTCTTCTTCCTTGCCGACAACGGCATACGAACAAGTGTCTTCCGCTTGGCTGATCCCGACGACTTGATAATCTTCGTGCGCGCTTGGGTCATTCTTCCTGCGTAAGTGGCAGGTTTCCGCCCTTGCTTAGGTGTTCGCTTAGCAGGCGATTCCATCGGCGGGCTATTACCAACTGCTTTCTCCGGTCCCCTCTTTCGTTTCTCCGAAATGACCAACTTCGCCGTCCTTTCACTTAACTCCTGCGTAATACTGGCTTCACTTTCCCCACTGCTGCCACTGTACTCCGGCTCATGCCGTACCACCTTGCCTTTCCCACTGGGAGGTTTTTGTAGTTCCACTACCGCTTGTCGCATCTTGTTGACGAATTTCTCCTCTAACTCGCCGAACCGTAATACCAACTGCATATTCAGGTCCTTCTTCAATTTCGTTTTCTGTTCCGCCTCACGACGTCGTTTTTCTTTCTTCTTTCGTGTTTTTTCTTCCCGGATGGCTCGTTCCTCCTCTTCACGGATCTGCATCTCTTCTTCGAGCTTCAACTCTTCCTCCTTTTCTTGTTTATGTCTCAGGCGGTTCTCCTTCCGTATTCTCTCTTCTTCGAAATGTTGTTGCATAGAAGCCACGCTCCTTCACAGCTCACTGATTTGATGCTTCATGACAAGATTGATTTGTGTACTTGGTTCTCTTCTCCAATCGCTTCGCCTTGGGGATCTCGATCTTCTGGAATCAGTCGATGTTGATGGCCGAGCAGCACCTCCATATTTCCTTGGTCTTGTGCATTGATTGGCATAGTGGCCTACTTCGTTACAATTATAGCAAGTAGGTCCCCTCCTCCTTTCGTAGCGATCTCGTTCCTTGTCACTCGCATGCCGATCATCCTTCTCGTCACGAGCTCTATCATTGCTTCCTTTTGGCTCGTTACCCTGGTCGTACCGCTCCGGGTTCGACATCTTGCTAGTTCCGCATCACCAAACCACGTCGGCACTTTCGATACCCCGACGTCAAATACTGCACCAAGTAATTGTTCCTTGTATTCCGCAAATTGTTGATACAACGCTCACTCACCACCGGCTTACCATCTCCAGTAGAGTTCACGCTAGCATTGCACAATATGTGAGAATTACACTGGAGAGCAGCGTACATGTGGCGCAAAATTGCACCCAAACCACACAGAAAGACAAAGTCGTATAGAATAGTACAATCGGTTTTCCATCGCGTCAAACCGCATACAAAAAAACCTCCATACATTCCCGTCACACCCATTGCCGCTGGTCCGAGGACGAACTACAAAACCTGAAGGACTTACTATGACGACTTAACTACCTTATATAGTATGCAGTTCTCCAAAAATAGGTGGTACTAGAAGCTTCGACTTCTCAGTGGAAGGGCCTAGTACCCTCGAACTCTTGTCGTGTCAAACTAAAAGCCTGTAACATGGCGGGTCCTCGATGGGCCGCCTTCAGAGCCTCAAACCCAGGCCTAATTTCCGCAAAACACTTGATAGCTGCAAATTGACGGCGGTCGTCCGGTCCCAGGCTTTCAGGCCTTTACCTACAACACTCCCCACAATTGTCCTGAAAATTCAAATAAAAGCATAAGCCTTCGGATATCCTATCCATCAAAAGAGCTACCAAAGAGCAGAAAACCCTCCTTCGAGATACCTGCTCTATTTGTATCCGCAAATTATCTCATAAACCTCGAATATCCTATCAAAAACTTACCCATAGAGCAAAAAAAATATCAATTCCAATAAAATTCCCTGTCCATTACCGCAAGGACCAGAGAAGGTAAAAAAAAAAAAAAAAAAAAAAACCTCCAAAACATCTGAAAAAAAAACTACATTATGCAAAAACATCAACTGAACAACTTTTACCTCAGTGTCACATCGAAATTCTTTACCAACTTTAATATATATATATATATATACTACGACTTCGCTAGCTTCCTGCTACGGTTTTCTCCGGTCAGGTCGAGTGGCAGTGGTCGGGGCCGTCACTACGCGGCCATGCTGTGCCTCTAGTGCCAGCGGTGTGTCTGGAGTGTATTTTTTGGCTGTGACAGACCTTTCTTTGTTTCGTGGGTGTTTTGCTGGCTTGTGATGGGGTGTGAACCGACAGTCTGTA